TTATTATAATTATAATCAATTATCATTATAATCAAAATAAGGTCACGCAAGTGCTGAAGATTTGAGGGGTCACAAAACAGCAACACAAACAGCAGGAGGAGAGATAGTTTTTTTGGGGGGGGTTTTAGTAGAGGTTTTAGGGCGCTCGCAAAAGGTCATATGAGCGCCAGAAGATTAGAGGTGTTACAAGCGAGTAACAAACATAAAAAAGAAGAAGGGTAGATAAGGATGATAGGTGTTTGATAGGAAAGAAGGAGAAAACCACACCAGAGCACCCGCCAACCACCCACGGAGGAGAGATAAGGACGATAGAAGTTTGATTAGAAAGAAGAGCACCAGAGCACCTGCCACCCACCTACAGCAAGATTGGTATTGTTTAAATGAAGTACGGAAGTCGGCGCAGTAACGCAAACATTCGGACAAGAACTGCTCTAGGCCAACGGAAATAGTGCATAAGAAAAGTAGGTAGATGGGGGCAGAACCCAACGGAGAGCCAATCGAACACCAAGCGAAGTTGAAAACATGAGGAATCTTATAAACGTTTTTTTAAATACAGAAACACATCTCATGAAAACGGGGTCTGAGAAATAAGTCACCCCCTTAGTGATCGATTGTCAATGGGCAAAAACAAGAAATGGCTCTCTCACCAAGGTGCCAGAATAAATAGAGGATATGTAAGTAAAAACAACAACAAACAACAACAAAATAAAAGACCACAACCACCACCACCACCAACAACAACAACCCCCACAAACAGCAGCAACAACAATATCAACAAAAACAAACAAATAAACAAAAACAACCCCAACATCCACCCCTAAATATGAAAACAAGTAAAACGCCCAGCAAAAACAACAACAACCACAGCAACAACCACAACAACAACAACAACAGTACCTGCAAAACAAACAAACAAAAAAATTCAACACAAACCTCAATGTATCACAGAGCCGAGCTCGGGGACAAACAATCAGTAAGAAGAACTATTCATACAAACGTTTCCCCCTAAGTGAACAACAAGTTATCCACGCGTTGGGGGGCGCAAACGCTAAGGTAAAGGCTGTACATTCCACCCTTTTACGCTCAGGTTCCACCCCAAGTGGCATCAGACAAGAGGAAATGAGTTTGGGCAGGCTTACAGAACTAGGAAAAGGACAGAAGATGTAATAATCTTTTCAACTTGGTGATATCCCCTTTGAAGGCAGTTTGTCGATATCCGCTCACTAAATATTCCTCTTAACATTCTGCTCCTTACATCCCTACAAACTTTATACTTCAATAGAAATTCCCTAAAACTGAACATTTCTCCTCCGAAAGCTCCAAACCCAATAAGGCAGCAAATCATTGATGACGGAAAATCTGGGCCGCTACGGAATCGTGAACATCACCCACCTCCTTTTTCTCAGTTTTAGAAAGAGTGTTATGGCACTTGAAACACAATAAAGTCATATAAGTGCCGAAGATTAGAGGTGTTACAAGAGAGTATCAAACACAAAAAAGAAGGAGGAAAGGACGACAGCTGATGATTGTTAGGAAAGAAAGAGCAAAATACACACGCCAACCAGCCACGCCCCACCTCCACTTTACAAATGACAACTACGAACTGAGTTTCACAAAAGACAAAGTGCGGAATAATAACTCTCAATTTGTCAATGAATACATGGACGCTGTATCTACTGCCACTGTACTATCCACTCTTTGCCCCCACATCTGCGGGCGAGGGGCCGACTTTAACGGCATTGTAAAAACATATACCAACACTACAGACAAGGATCAAATGACTCCTCCCCCCTTTAGCCACAAACACACAGCGGTGGATAACCGCGGAGAGGGTCATTAGCAAGCGGAACCTTTAATTAAGTGGGCTGAGAGAGAGAGGGGGGAGGGGCGGACCCGCGGGCCTAGCCGCCAAATTATACACCTTCAGCTGGAATAAGACTGTTACGTACGAAGCGACTTGCTTCGAACCGAGACCCACACCCTGAGACGTTCTTCTGAACAATGCAAGCTAACTTTGTCTGTGTCCCGTTGTCAAATATTAAGCTTATGGGTGTACTCATTTCTTTGCTCTTTTCTCCTCAGC